TTAGATAAAAATTAATAATTATCTTTGTTTTTTTTTAAATTAAAGATGATTTAATTCTTCGTGATATTCTTAGCAAACAAATAACACATCTTAATATTGATATTAAAAATCCAGCTGGATATTATTCGTCCACTATTTTAAAGATTTTTGGATTAATTTTATCTTTATGTAAAAAATTAATCGTCTTGAATTTTTGTGATATGTTTCCTACACGAACGATTTCGACTCTTCTTTTTCATCTACGACGAGAAAATTCTTTGCCTTCCACTTTAATCAAATTGAAAATCAATGGTGCATGTGTAACTGATTGTCTTTATCTGCTTGATGGACCTCTCGTTTGTTTATCAACATTAATTATTAATGTGTCATCTATTGTTTATCCAATAGGAAAGATAGATTCAACAGTAACTATTATTTCAATGATCATGTTTAGAGGAAAAAAAAAACAAATAAATATTCTTAATTTTATTTTCTTTATAGAAAAAACTTCTCAAATTGAAATGTTTTTCATTCACCTCATGTGATCACACATTTAAGTATGATACTCTAATTGTTCCATTACTTTGTCGAATGATAAATCTTGAAGAATTGCGATTATATCTATCAGTTGGAAGATGTGACTCAACTTATATTGATGGTATTCAATTATATGATCAATTTCTTATTTATATGACACAATTAAACAAATTTACATTTAATATTAAGACAACGGTCTACCAGACGAACGTTAGCGTCGAACTTCCATCGAATGAAGATATTCAACGTAGTTTCATCGGAAGAGATTATCAAGAAGTAGTTTCATATATTAAGACTACATTATTTGGACGCATTGGCGAATGCCATATCTATTCATTACCGTATGAATTCGAATATTTTAACCTGGACAATTCTTTTCAAGGTGGCATGTTTCATAAAGTTCGACAATTGACAATGAATGATACAATCCCTTTTAAACATAAATTATTTAAACTGATCTCTCAAGGTTTCCCTTTTCTCAAATTCTTATATATAATTAATAATGATCCACTAAAAGACAAGCAACATTCATCAACATTAATTACATTTCCTTATCTCACATTTCTCGACCTAACATTGGCACATCTTGGCTATGCTGAACTATTTCTCTTAGAAAAAACTATGCATCTACCTCGTTTGTTAAATCTCGCTATGCAATATGAATCACTCACAACGATAACAAACAACTTTACCACTAATGCAATCTATTTTAATTTTGGCAAATTGATAAGTCTTGATATATGTCCATCATTTGTTCGTCCAGAAAATTTTCGTCAATATTTTCCTTTATTATAAATTGTTTCAACAAAAGAAAATACGTGGAGGAAATTAAATATTTTTCATTTATACTATATTGCAAGAAAAAACTCAAGAATAAACCAAATTTTGAAGATCATGTCAACACTCTTGAAATTTACTCATTTCTCTTTTGACTTTGTATAGATGTAAATATTTTGTCTTTAAAATATATTATTAAAAATGAACATACAAATAAAATATTAAATTGAATGAACATTGAGAAATCATAATCTACAAATAATGATTTGCATAATTATCGAATTATAAACTTTATCTAGCATATTCAAATAAAACATCTTTCTGACAAATTTTGGTACTGAAACTCTTGTGATAAAATATGAAGTCAATCTATGTAATGTCTTCTATTTTGTTCTTAATGGTTTGTTACTTAGTTGTTGTCTCTCTTTATTTGGTCCCATAAAAACAATTATTATCATGATAGAGTGTCTCTTGTAATGTGAATAAAGTGTTGATTGAGGCCAAGCATCAATAATTCTTCCTTCCATTTTATTCAATTATCATCATCATTGTATCTCTTCGTAGTGATAAACATTCTACTCATTTGATTCTGACATTTATTTGGTCAGAATAGTTTTGTTTGTTTTTTTTTATTTAAATGAACAACGATAATGAATATTTCTAGTTGCTGTTGTTGTTGTTGTTGTTTCTGTATAAGATTGGCCTGTTGTTGTTACTGAAGAGTTTTTAATCGCTGACGTGAGAGATATTTTTCACGATTTTTTGTTGATAAACTTGTAAGTTTGTTATATTCATTCCAAAGTTCATTAACAATTTCATTTGTTGGGTTGTTCCATGGGAAGTCAACCACAAAAACACAGTGTTCAGAATTTTTGTTCTTCCCGTACACTTTGTAGAGAATTTTTTTCTGATCATTTTGATAAAAAAATATTTGAGATTTCGTTTAGGAATAGTGATATTGTGATCAAAATACTGAAAACCCTGAAAATGCGATTTTTCATTTTTTATTATGGGAGTATTTCATTATCTATGAGTTTTTACTCGATGTGATTCTAACGGATAAACATTGAAATTATATATTCTGATAGCTCAAGTGACAGGCTACAAAAAACGATGGATTAGGAAATGTTTTTGTCATTGAAATCGATGATCAGCTGATAATAACTGATCTGCCATTGATCATGAAATGTGTATAAAAGTCGCCTAGTATAATTCAAAATGACTATATTCTAGAGAAATGTGCCATAATGGATTTTGTAGAGCAAGTCGGCTCTACAAAACCCTATAGTTAGTTTTTTAGATAACATCGAGCAGCTTGAGTAAATTGCGACGGAACATTATGGATGACATCTATTATAAAAACAAGAAGATTCATATTTGAAAGAACCCTGGCGAAAATGATGACTATGTCTGAATTAACAAACAAAATATACCATCGTGTAGAGCTTTTCAAGGCGCATCTAATGGTATATAGGAAATCTATTTTCCAATAAGTTTACAGGAAGTTAGGTCGAGTTTACTGATGAGGCGATAGGACTCCAAATGGTAATAAATAGAGCTGCTCAGTGTTGATCCATATTGTTAGTCGATATTCTTCATAAAAAATATTTCCTATATACATTTGTATATAGTTTTTCATGGGCTACAAATTGATATATTTCACATCTTCAATTAGTTAATATTAGAGAGAAAATAGGGTGACTACTTATCAGGATTGATAGTGTTTTTAACAATAATTGATAATTGTAGGTTTTATTGTATTCAACCGTGCTAATCTCAGGAGATGTGTCCATTCGTGAAACTTTGTCAGAAATTGTGCTTTAGATAGGGCTACAAAATGTACTATTTGGTGACTATTCCACATTTGTGCGAGATCCCTAAAATTGCTCTGTATTGAGAAATCTCCGTCAATTTGAACATGAATTTCCTTCTTTTAATACTGTATTTCGACATTTTGACTGCCAAAATTTAATTTTGATGCAAAACGAACATGATATTCGGAATCAGCATAAAATGTTGTATCGAATAGCTTATATTTATCTAAATATTTTTTCCATCAAAAACTGACCTGTACTCCCCCTGAACCATTTTTTCCTAAATTTCGCCTTGTGGTCCCCCATAGGTCGAAGGGTGTGGGTGTGGGTGTGGAATAAATTAAAGACATGACTCACACCCGCACCCACATCCCGACAGCCACAGCCACACCCACCCACACCTCACCCACCCACACTCACCCACACCCACATCCACACCCACCCACACCCACACCCCACACCCACAACCACCCACCCACACCCACACCCCACACCCACACACCCACACCCACCCCTGTATGAGTTTTCCAAGACATACTCGCATATTTGCTTGCTGGTGCATGTCTAAGTCAGTTGAGAATCTGCGAAGAGGCTGTGACACTTACGAGTATAGTGAAAGAAGATGATAATCACTAGCTAGTGTCAGATTATTTCAAGTGCATCCAACTGCATTAATAAATAGTACCAAGTGATATCGAGAAGTTTGTTATATAAGATCGTTAGAATATTGCCCGAGAGAAAAATGCCAAAAACCTTTATAATAGCCACTTCACTTTTTTCGTACTAGATTCCGTGCCAGTTGTCGAACTAGTCAACATCACAACTGATTTGCATTCATCTCCTATGAGTAACATTCATACTAGAGCCAATTCATGCTTCGAGTACTTGCAGCATGTATATCAATCAACAAATAGAAAGAAATTTTAAAAAGATCAAGAATACGTAGATGTTCTTTGCTAATGACCTTGAAGTTCATATACTCGTTACAGTACGCGATGTTGATTCTTAATTTCATCAACACTATGACTGCACTAATAAATCAATATGTAAATCATGGATATCCTACACTAAAATTTGAATTTGTATGTATTCTCATCTCATGAATCTCATTCGAATTATAGTAATATTCAATGCATTCATTTCATTCATTCGTTGTCGCATTTATCATTGATAATTTTATTTTCTGGTTTATTTTGTATTTATACATATGTGGTATGTTTGTAGAACTGTATCCTTTATATGAAATATTGATATGAAGTAGAAACAAAATGTTTATCAATACGAAGGTTCGAATAAAATTAAGCTGATTAATTAAAATCATCTTCCATTGTTGTATACTCTTCATATTCTATTTTATAGCCAAGCAATCGACCAATGAGAGCACCTATTTTTACTATTATTTTCATGAAAGGTAATGATAACGATGCTGGATAGGTTTGTGCATTTTCGAAAAGTACAAATATTTGCCATATAGATATATGTTGATCGCGAGTAATGCCAGCGAAATTTTCAAAAAATCCTTGTCGAAGGCCGTTGCATTTGTTCGCTGGTTCGACACGAACACGTACAATGAGATCTTCTTTATTGTCATTCATCCAAAATGTGTGTGGTATAAGAGGTGGTACAATAAGAGGTCGTGGACATGTGTGAGTATCACATGAATATACTTGATCACCTATTTGATAGGCTAGGTAACCTTGTATAAGAGTGAAGAATTCTCTTTGTTCGAGATGGATATGTAGAGGTGGTGTGCAAGATCGTTGCATTGGTGGCACTTGAAGATTACCACAGAGGCCATGTGCATATATGATGTTTTCACATTCAAAATATGAGTTATTTATTTGTTGTGATCGATTAAAAAATTGATATGAATCAGTATTATTTGCCAGGGAAGTTGCAATGCGAGATAAACCTGCTGTATGAGTTCGAAAAAGCTAAATATATTGTAGAGATAAGTAACATAGTATACGAAAACTTTTTTCTATCGTGATTAGACAGACGAATATTATTTCAGATTTCATGCGTTTTTCGGCTAAATCACGTTTTGTAAGATTCAAACATCGTTCGAGAAGAGCAAAGTGAAGAAGTTTAAAATTTAAAACTATCAAGGCTATTTTTCGGATATATTACATGCTATTCGTATTTTAGTAAACAGTCTAACTTTACATTCATTCATATTCCGAAATTATTAGCTAGTAATAAAATTCAAGAAATCTCAAAAGTTTCCCTGATCAAGATTGTAATTGGTCAAAACCATGAAAAACATTTGTCTTTTTGTCTATCGTAGAACAAAAAAATTCCTAGACCATCTCTACCACATATGAAGTAGATAAGAGTTTGAGATTAAAACTAAAAAATACCCGACCTGAGATGTCCGATGACGACAATACCCAAGCCATGCAGCCAAACTGCCTATTACAAACCATTTCAACCACCACTTCATGATATACGTCGTGTATATTCGATAAAGAGTAATACACACAAATGAATACCTGACTATTGAAAGAACGGCAAGGAGACTACTTGAAGACGTAAGCAAGGCAAGTGAAATAAACACGTGCGCCAATTACGTACGATTATGAAAAATAAGATCAGAAGAACGACAAAAATATCATAATAAAGCATATTATTGTTTTAAACAAAACTTGAACAACGATGGTTATTCTTATTGAAATAAAATAATTGCTGTGTACCCTTGGGCAACCTTTTCTTCTTCTAACCGTATAGTAGATAGCTCGTAAATGCCGCATTATCTCAACTAATGAATATTGTGGTCCTGCAGATCTCTGTGGTCGGATCAGATCAACTGAAGAATCAAACGTTGCACTGATTCCTTTTTTGTAGTTTTTTCAGTTAGTTGCTATGGAAAAACATTTGAAGAGAAACAGAAAATGAATGTTTCAAAAATAAAACTTTCAGAATGTGTATAGTGCTCGCCGTTCCAACCATTTTAGTATGAAAATTATTATATTCGATTTTATTTTCATTGAGATACAAATCAAATATTAGATGCTCTCTTCTACCATCATATAATAACAAAAAAATACCGCATTTCATTTGAAAAAAACATCATGGTACAATCGATATTTCATCAAATTGAAAAGCGAATTATATACTCGAATTCATCATGGAAAACTGCATCAGAATCCGCAACAGAGAATTTTTCACTCAAATGATGATTATTTGAATATTTAGCTTGTGAAGTTGATTCTAATGTGTTATGATAAATATAGATCCTGTATTATTTTGAATTCAATGGATTTGACTGTAATCTATGGATATTCTTCATGATCTGATCTTCTTAAAGAGAAGATATACGACAAGATCACCATTGGACGCGGCTTCGATTTCGGTGCATAGAAAAAGTAATTTACTCTTTTGATATACACAGGTATTGACAAACGAAGCATTGAAATGGAATTAATTTGTCTTTGACCAATAACAGCAATCAATAATTAATTCATTTAATTCAATATATAACAATGGAGATGATTGAGAACAGCGTGACTTTATTTCATGACGAGACAACTGATTTAGCAACTGTATTCTCCTTCTTGCGTTCCTCTATCTATTGGCTAGACTCAAGGTCGATCTGTCTCGACTTTCTAGATTTTGTCTTCTCTTAAATTATTTTATTACTTTTATTATTATGTTTTAATAGCACCACGTTGTTTATGCTTGAAATTCAGTCTTGTACAATAATATGCATATTCAAAGTAATTACAGTTCACTTTTCCCATTTTACATATATAGCAGTGTTTAAATGTTAGCGATAAAAGTAAATTGAGTTTTAACATGAATGTTGCCTGATTTCTTCTAAAGATACTTGTTTCTTTTTAAACAACATTGATCAGTTAAAGAAAAGGTAACGCTCATCGTTTGGACTTGCTTACCCTTCGACTCAATAGTTAGGACAATATGTATATTGTTTCAATTTGTTGAGGAAATTGGTGACAATGTCAGTTGAAGCCACACATCTGTTATTATGCTATGATAATGGTTTATGATAGTATAACCAACTGAGAGACATAGAGATCCCCGAAATAAAACTGTAATTACTACCGATTACTTAATAAAACAAAGTGCTTTCCAAAATAGCGTCCTATAGAATTATGTGGTGTGCATTGCGGTAGTTGAAAAAATATGTTCAGGTCTCTAGTTAACAACTTTAAAAAAAGACTGATTTTTCAATGAAAAGTACAGTGGACAGAAAAAATAATGTTTAGATGTATAGAACATAGAGTGAATGTATTTTTGAAAAAACTATACACTGAAAAAAACGGACACGCATAACACGAGTTTTCATGCAATACAGAAAAATCATTGGAACGACTCCAAAAACCCGTCTATGTGTCTAATTACAGTTTATCGAGTCTTTTGATTTCGGTGATTTGAGATTTGCTTAATTTGATAAGAAAAACCTTGTAATCGAGTTGTTGTAAAATAATAAAATCAACGAAATGCAAGAAGCAGACACAAGTAATGGTGTGCGCTGTTTAATTCGTAAAATTGCTAAAATCAATTATAAAACAGATCAACCTATCTCTTAACGGAAAGACAAGTCCAATATGTTAGTGTTGACTCTTGCTTTTCAGCAATCGATCAAGTCGAAAAAAAACAAACAATAAAATAATATTAAATAAATGTACTTGAATGAAAATGATTTAAAACAATGTAGAGTTAATTTCGCACGTGTTTTGTCTTATTTATTGATATACTGAAACACTTTTCAGAGCTCTGCATTACATTTTTAAAAAGCATAATCAAGAGAAGTCAATATCAAAAGTAGGTGTGGGTGTGAGAGATGAAGACAAGACTCACATTCACATCCACATCCACACCCTGAAGTACCACAAGCAGCCAAAAACCGAAACTCATTGGTGTTGCACTTACTATGTCGTTATCCGTGTATTTCCAATTCATAATGACACTAGGGTGTGAGTTTTGATGAGTGTTCGTTACAGATATGGGTATATAGGCGTGAATGTACGTAGCTATTACACATTTACGACCACACCCAGCCTTGTCTCAAATAGGTATTTAATCTTGGATAAGACCGTGAGGTCGATAGTTCCAGAAGAAATAATATGGCGAATGAAAACGAAGTAACTTCTATTCACATGATAGTTACTTGTTTTGATCGGTTCGTCAATATACGAAAAACTTAACTGAAAAAAAAATTTTTACTAAATGAATTTCGGACATAATAGCATTATGCCATGTGAAGTCTTGTCTACGTTTGCTGATTATTTTATAGAAAAACCGTAGTACAACTAAAAAGAAGATGATTACACACGACTGTAAAATTTATCTTCCGAATTCTAAATGTCACTAATGATTGGAAAATTTCTGCAAAGACATGTATCTGGACAACAGTAACTAAAATACTACACGTGTTCGTTTTTCTTGCAAACACTTAAAATTTCTCTTTCTATTATTCAATTACAAGAGAAACTAATTTAGAAGAAAGATTAAAACTCAATGAAAAATATATATGCGAGTTGACATTAGGTTTTGAATGATGGTAATGATGATAAGACAAATAATCGGTTAATTTTTGTGATTTAATCACTCTCTTTCTTGTGCACGAGAAATCCTTAGCATCTCTTCTCTTTTTTCATATTGTCGTTCTCTGCTATTATTCTCAATATGAGTATATTGACTTTCGTATATAAATAGGTTAGCATTTTTCTCATCGTTCATCGACACATAATGTCATATATTCTCTTCTTCGTCGTTCTCTTAGTGACAATAGTAACGAGATCTATTATTCTAGGTGTGCCTGTTACAGACTATAGCATCCACGATGCATGTGTAGCTGAACTTTGGTCCTATGATTCGTACCCGTGCTCGCGTACAATCAGTATTATGGGTATATGTAACTCATCGACGCTCAATTTGACCCACACTACTATTTCAAAATGTACTGCGATTCATCTCTCCTGGTCCAATCCTGTAGAAAATTTAACAATGATTATTGAAACACCATTCACAGAAAAACAACAAGCCTACATGATCTATATTGACAACGAAGGTATGATGGGTCCCGTCTCACATGTCTATAGGCTAATAGACAAAGAAGAAACCGAAGTAACAACGACGGACAGCAAACTTATTCAATACTCGGATTCCAACTATCAAATTATCCTCAAGTTTCAAAGTCCATCCGAGTTTACCTACTATGGTGTTTTTATCGATTATGAAGTGGTTCATGTATAGAGAGAAAAAAAAATGCTCAAATCTTGATTTAATTTCTATAATAGTGAGAGAACTCGAAACTATTGTAGTTGAAAATAAATACAATATATGAAAGTAGATGTTGGAAAGAAAACATTGGAGAATTATTTCTTTGACTGTCTTCGATGAACTTTTAGTACAGCTCATGTCAAGAAGTACGGATCAAACCAAAGGCAAAACGTTTTCAACTAAAAAAGGCAGAAATGTTAATCTTTTCGAAAAATATACGCTATAATTATACAAGCAAAAAATGACTATGCAGACTATGAAAAAATCTAAAAACCGCTTTGTCACTTGTTGTACGACTTTCGAGTGTTTTTTGAATAAACTATCTGACTCAATTTTTTTTTGGCAGTAGCAGCCGTAGATAATAGTACTGACCGTGTATAAGTAGTGTTTGGAGAGGATAGAAAGTAGACATTCGACTGATTAACTAAATAAGAAACAAACTGTTATATTATCAGTGTATGCCATTGCAATATAGCTGATGTAAAATTTGATTCGTAAGTATTGCATTCAACAATAAGATCTTGATTATAAAAGTGAAAATAGAATTTTCGGGAAATCGAGCTCTAAAGGTATGCTTGAGTTAACGACAGCTACGAACGAAAAAGCGCAGGAAATAAATGGACCAACTTTAGGCGAACGATTTCTTCTAGAATCACGAGAAGAAGACAGATTCCACAGAGTCATTTATCTTAAAATGACATTGAGCAATCTTATCGATGTATCTCCGACAGAATCTTTGGAGACATCTATCACAACACAAGTCAGAGACAACTTGTGTAATATCATGTTCGTTAATGTAATCAATGATTTATCGACTCAATTTGGTCATTCGAGGACACACAAATGAAGAAAAACAACTTGTTTTCCATTCTTTGAATTTCAAATACATATATGTATATATCCGGAAGTGGATCTCCTCTGAGTGAGAGAGTATGTCGGTTTTAATATCATTTTGAGAGCACTTTGCCATACTATCGCACATATGCTGTTTCGTTCTCCTATACATAGAGAAGCAACTATTATTTAACGGAATGTCTTTTTTTGCGTGCATTGCAGTTGCTTTTAACGAAAGCAGTATTGATAAGGAAGACAAATTAAAACAAAGCATGCTCTTCAGAAGCATCAACAGAAAAGCGAATCATTATATTTCAATCGTTGTTGTAGACCAATAAAACAAGTAGAGAACACTTATACTGACAGACATACTGATTGCCATATTGCTGATTAAGGTCGTCTCCTATGGCTGATACATTCATCAAGCCTATAGCTTCTTCACTCGTCTTAGCATTCCTTGTCCGCGACCACGATTTTTTTTCGGAAACTTTTTGGATATTATCAAAGCTAAAAGAGTTGCATTAATGATCCAAAAATGGCCTTAGAAGTATGGATGTATATTCGGCTATTTCGAAGGACACAAACTTGTTCTTGTCATATATAAGACTGATGCTTTACTCGATGTATTTATCAAATCAATTGCCAACTTTAGTTCGCGTCGTGAATTGCCATTCAGAGATTCTCATGCGAAAACTGTTCATCTATTTACTGCTAAGAATCTACGTTGGAAACGGCAACAGTTCATTATTAATCCCACATTTTCATCATCAAAACTCAAACAAATGTCTTCGTTAATTAATCAAAGTGTTGGTATTCTTATAGAAAAGATGCCTGAAAAGCGTCGACATAATCAACCATTTGATCTATTTCTTTTTTCTGAACGTTTTACAATGGATACAATATGATCGTATGGATTTAGTCTCGCCATTGATATGCAGAATAATCTAAACGATCCATATCTTCTTCATTCATAACGGGTACTGTCCGTGGTGACTTGTTTAACCAAGCTGATTATTTTGTTCATTTTCCTTACTGAACTCAAATGACTCTGGAATATACTTTTTCGATGTGATAGTGCCATTCGAAATTGGCGTCATCATTATGTGACGATCATACGAAAGTTCATTGTCGATCAACCATCCATATGGTTCAATTAACTAGGAGAAGAATTAATAAAGAAACGTATCAAATTCGGCAGCAAAAATTGACTGTATCTATTGCAATTTATGCTTGAATCAGCTTCCAATAGCAACTTCATTGAAGTAAGTAGTTATTTTCTAGTCAAATTGTAGATGATCGATCTTAAGCTCGATTTTAATATGTGCAACTTTGAAACATACAAATGAATAGAAGACACTCTGAACATCGTTTCGTCAACGATTATTTCAATTAATTTTGTCTATCTGAAAGTATACTGAGTTTTGTGTTTGATAAATGCATTGTCAAGTCATTGACGACTGAACGCAGTTTTATATTCAACTGGGTTGTCATTTAATGAATAGATATCGAGAGACCAATTCCTATCTTGTAATCTATATCATCACTAGTGATAAGTCATGATTTAATCATAATGATTTAAATATAATAGAATAGTCGAAAATTGGAGCATTAAAAGCCAAAACAGAAGCTGCCAAGGTTCATCAAAACAAAGGTCAGACAAATGAATTGTGCCAATTTTCTCATTCAATCTACTTGAACCAAGTTCATACCATTAGGTCTGTCAATTCATGCCTATCGCAAATTTTCAAACTGTATCAGCAGAGAAACAAAAGACTGGTCTTCGATATCAGTCGTCACTATCGAAGTACGAGATCGACCTATTTCGAGAAATCTTGACTTTCAGCACATATCGACCTGATCTTTTATGGCTATTTTCTGCTCTCAAAACTCAAATATAAACTATGTGAAATTATATTCGACAAAAAAATTCTAATGTGATGAACCAGTACATGATATGGCAGCAGCGAACCTCTGCAAAACATCACTAGGATCAACCTTTGAATATTTATCTAGAGGGTTGGTGAAAAAACTTTTGGAATTTCGATTGTAATTTTGAAAAAAATTGTGTATATTACAAATGTCTGGTATTGAGCTAATAAAACTTTGTTGTTTTTGAATTTGATTATTGCTGATCACCAATCATGGGTTGTGAACTCGGTTGCTTCCTGTAATAATTTTATGTTATTCAAAATTACAATGAGTATGACAAAACTTCCAATTTACACAATTAGATATGGATTTTTGAAAATTGAATCAGAAGCGAGTGATGACTTGATCTGAAACAGTGTTAGGATTTTGTTTACCACTTCGGCAGAATCGGCTAGCAAAGTTTGATCCAAAGTGTAACACTGATATTGAGCCACTAATCATTCGAAAATTGATTCAATATAAAATTGTGGCAAATATTGCTTTCTTCAGTAAGGAAACTTTACCTTCTTTTTCATGATTTTCTATGTATTAATTGTACTTTCCAAATGGTTGTTAGCTACGATATAAAAAATACAGCATTTGCCTGTATTGTTTATGCTCTTGCGACTCATCCAAATGAACAGCGCAAATTACAAAAAACATATCTATGCTCATTTCAATTCGAACGTTAGTATGTATTCAATCGCACCAAGCTTTATCAACCGGCAGAACAGTAAAAAGTTTTACATCAATGATGTGGATATCATTCCAGTTGGTACTATCATCCATGTCAATATTTACAATTTGCACTTCAACCCCGATCTTCATAGTCCAGTCGATCCACAGACATTTTATCCTGAACGATTTGCTACCAAGCGAAGTCCATTTAGATGGGGTGTGGATGTGGGTGTGACTCTCATCTTCCCTCCGCACATACTCTCTATATATCACAATAGGTATTAGGTTGAAAACCGAATGTTATCATTACACAATTTCTTTTTATAAAAAGGTACGTTTATTTTAATTCACCTATTATCGCTTTTGGAACACATATCTTCAAGAACCTCTTTACTTAATTCTTCCATTATGCAATAAGGAAGGAGTTCGTATATTAGTACGAGTCTTCATTGATATCCAATCTTTGATCGCGTATCAACAACGTCTAGTACGGTTAGAGATGCACTTCCGAGCATCACTGTTAGAACAGCTGAACATTGTAGGAATCCACGATGATGATTGATTTTTTCTATCAAATCATTTGTCTTTATGCTGAAAGAAGTTAGCCGTATTTATACAATAGTTTAACCATTACATCCGTAGTAACGGTCTGTCGGAAGACAGGATCCAATTTCTAATCCTCTACTCCAATCTTTCTTTTAAATGATGTTTCACAAAATAATAAAAATAATGTTTCTTACATGTTCAAGTGTTGTTTAAGATAGTGAATAATCGATAACAATCATAAGATTTTTATTTGTTGCAATAAAACTAAATATTTTTCGAATATTATATACTATTGTTGTACGATGTTTTTTCGTAAATAATAAAATATTTAACTCTTCATTTCAGAGAAAGTTTTTTTCTTTTCCAAACCGTTATATTGGAATCGAGAAGACATTATTGAGTATTCTATTTGATGCTATTTGTATCTTTAATTCATCTTCAAGATTTAATTTTAAATAATAACCAGTATAAAAACAAGATTTTAATCTTGTGGTGTACTAAGACATTTTAATTGTTCATGAATTCTAATTGCTAAATGTGAACATAAAACATCCCATTCAGCCATTGAATATGATGTTAATAGAATAGTTTTATCTTTTTTTTTAGCTTTAATTTTATTATTCCGAATAATACGACTATTTTCAAGAGCTAAAAGTTGTACTTATATTTAGGAATGAACTATTTCTCAAACGATTACTAAGAGTTCGTGCTTTTAGGTCATTACTATTGGATAGTTTGTAACAAAAAAAAGATAAACTGTAAAAAAAGAATTTGTTATATTTTACTCATGAACACATGCAGAAAAGCCTCTACAAAAGAATGTCAAAATATATATGAAAAATTTCTCTTGCTTAATTCAATTGGAAAAAAGGCTATCGGAATGAAAAGAAAAACAATTAGAGTTTTCACATAGAAATAAAATCCATATTTCATTTCTTTTCATATTCGTTTTCTAATAATGATTGCTCTTGTTGTTGATAAATAAGCACATAAGCGTCTTCACCAATGACACTATCTTTATTGACTTCTGATACATATGAGTCATTAAATGTATGCCATTTTTTATCTTTAGAATTTTTTGCATGTGCTGTATAATGCCCACCACCTAAATAGCCCATATGATTACTAACAGCAATTAAATCATATTTTGCTTTTGATTTTTCATCTGGATTTAAAACGAATTGTGATAAATCTAAATTACGTATTGGACAATCAACAAATAAGTCAATTTTATCACGAAAATAACGTGTATAATTAAAACGTTTTAATTGTACAATTAAAACTTGGGGTAAAAGCCATATATCAATCTTTTTTGTTGCTTTTTTTAATTCCTTACATTGTGGGCATTTCCACAGATCGTCATCAGATAACACTTCTTTTTTTGTAAAACATTTAAAACAATCTAATAATGTTGTTGTTCGTTTTTGTTGATTACGTGTTTGAACACCAGAGATCATTGGTGAAACAGGATCTTTTCCTGAACGTTTTTCATCTTCTCGTTTTTTATATTCGTCAACAATTGATAATGCAACATCAACCACAAGTGTTCTACTTATATGCGTAAAATCAATATGCTCATCAAGAAGTAATTCTAATGATTGGGTTGTTGGATTAAAATTTTGGTTAATTGTCAATGAAGCAGTATAAGATGGTTTATCTGATGAATTCGTTGAAGTTAATGGAAGAAAATTACTGATTTTTTTCTAAAGAATAAATCATAATAAATAGATAAGAAAGTATTAGAAATATTTAGTAATAGATAGCATTCTTAACGGACGTCAGATATCAGAGTTTGTTCATTTCATAATGATCGAATATATTCGTAAGTGATATTTGTAGGATATTTATAACTATAAGGAAAGACTGATGTAACTAAACAATCAAACTAATTGATTGAATTTTAGATTAAAAGCTCCGTACAGAATTTTTTCAACGATTCATCTCCAACAACAAATAGACTTCTGTTTTTATGGGCTAGATAGGTAAGAACAGTTTTTATTAAGATAAACTCGGTGTAAGTGTCGTATTGGACAAAATGAACTAATAATATACAGCTTCTTCTAGGTATACTATTGCCTGGCAACTGTTCTAACATTTGTTCGCGATGATTTGAATGACGTTAATAAAAAGAAAAGCTATCTTAATATTAAAATTCTCTTCCTGAATTGTTTTGGCTGATAATCTATAGCTTTTAGGTCTTTACAAAGTACCTTTGAAGTATATAATGAACAATATACATATATTCTTAGTAGCTACACTTAGTTATTAATTTCTCTCAAAATGAACGAAATTATTTCGATTCTATGAAAATCTATCAATAAAACTATAGACGTCTTATATAAATGATTTCTTACCTGTAATGCTTCTTTAATATCTCTTCCTTTACAATTATGTTTTGGTACACTAAGATAAATAGGTAAACCAAAATAGTAGTGATAATCGTCATCTCGAAATATGCATGGAATTAAAATATTTTCACTATCTTGATTTTTTAACGAATCAGGTACCTCATAAAAAACAACTTGATCACATTTAAGTATATTTGTTAACGGAGCATTATCTCTATATTGTAAATGAATTCTATGATTGTAAACTTCGACAGCTAAAATATAATCTGGTTTAGGTTTATGTCCATCATAGTCATCTGCTTTTGTAAAATCTTCTTCCTCTTCTTCTTCTTCTTCTTCTTCTTCTTCTTCTTCTTCTTCGTCATCTTTATCTTGATTAGTTTCACCCGATTTCGATGCTGTATCAGTTATCATAGGTTCATTTTGATGCATTTTTTTCATTTTCTCTTGAAAACGATCGCAAAACTGTTGAATTAAATTGCATACATGACCATCTTCGTTAAATTTTATATGATAAGTTTTAATTTGTCCATTTAAACGAACATAGTCGATTTTAAATTCTCGTAGTTTTGCTTTAACTGGTAATGGTAAACTTAAAAAACAGATTGGATCAAATGTACGTGCTTTTGTTTCACACGTAAGGCATTGTACAAGAGATTTGATTTGTCCATAAAATATATTTTGAATTTCTGATTGATTTCGTTTTCGATAATATTCCCATTGTTCATTAGCTAATGTTACATCATCAGTTTTTCCATCATCATCTTTTTTTTCTACATATGGTTTTGCTTTGACAAGATTTAAATCTTCATGTAAACCATCAAGTAAAAATGACATAAATTCTTGTGAATCTTGTTGTGAATAACCACTAAATTGTGGTGCATAATTTGCAACACTTTGTTTCAACAATCTTGGTGCACAAAAATCTGTATTACCTGACCACATTTCATGTATTAGGTTACCATATGCTATAGCAACATCACCCTTCATACCTAATGGATTATCACGATTTATATGTTCTTTATATTTGTCACTAAGAAAATATTTTGTTAACGCTGGAACATTTGATAAGCATTGTAAAGCTGAATTCATGAAACAAGTATTGCCCAAATTTGATAAACCACAAAGTCCAGGAGTAAACTCTGCTCTTGATAAAGAAACTGTCTCTAGTGCTAATGGTCGGTCCTCATATATGATAAATGCATTTTTTGTTAAACTGATATCTTCAAGAGTTGAATCTGGACCATCATCAACGAGTTCCCACTTTTGACCATTTTCATCCACTGATGAGTGTAATCGATAGTTTGATCGTACTGGAATAGAAAATTCAGTACAAATTTCTTTTTTTATATCTTCTATTTTTGTTCGACGGCTACGATAAATTTGTTTTATTCTCGCATTGTCATCGCTTGATTTACGAAGTCGTAATGGTACAAGAAAAACTTCAATTACAGTTTGAAATGGACCTTGTGGGATTACTTTACGAATTATTTCAGGACCGATTTTATTATATGTCTGTTCTAGTTCTATGTAAAGTTCGTATGGAATAAAGGTATAATCATTTTGTTCAACAGCATCTGAACGAAGTTGAACTTCATTGGAACTGCTGGCTGCTGTGGAATCGGCTAATGTTGTGAAGTCTATTGGACCTGGTTCAGTTACTTGTTCTTCATCTGATTTATCAATACCAACAAAACGTTTCCAATGTTCTAACCATTTAACATCAATAATCACATATTTGTCATCGATTCTCGGCTCCTGTGAAAGTAATCTTTTATATTTTTCCATATGATCGGGTGGCATCACAATACTTGTTATTTTTTTCTATTAGAAAAGTAAAATAACGTAAGAAAAGAAGTGTGTAAAAACAATGAAAGACGAAAACTTGAGGAATGACTCAGATAGTGTCTTGTTGATTGCGTAGAGCAAGTAGATTGTGTGAAGTAATGAATATTTCTAGATACAGAAAAGAAAAAAACAACCTCATTTATTGACACAGTTTTGCGCAAGAAAGCAGTACGGTCGGACAAATGTCGTAAAAGATAAAATACACGTCATCATAGAGCAATTTTTCTGGGTAAAAACCAACGTGAGAATTTTCTTCGTTAATTATTTTTTTTCTAAGAGTTCATGATCAAATTCATATAAACAGAAGATAAAGATGATAATCATGATTATCAGTATAAGAAGAGTGAGATAAAAAAAAGATTCGTTCAGGATTATTCTCGCTACCATGTCTGAACAAGTCGTTGAAGAACTCAATCACTTTCGAATTAGTGTCGATTGCTCGAAAGATAAATGTTTGAATGGTAACAAAGCTCGAAAATTGAAAATCTTGAAAAAAATTCTCAAATATGAAAAAATCACAAAAAGTGAGAATCTAGAAGCAAAATTCTCGACACTGTAAAATATAAAAGTAATTGAAATACTTGGTAGACACGTGATTTATTACTCGTAAGTTTGTTGCAGAATGACAAAAATGTAAAAAAAAAAGTACGTGTGTACAACATCGACGTTTTACCACTTTTAGTTAAAGAAAGAAACACTACCGAAAAGAAAAAAAAGTAGGATGACAAGGAAAGAAAAACATTATTGATTTGAGAATTATTTTTGTGAGATGTGAATGTGGGTGATGGTGAGGTTGAAATCCACATCTTCAATTACATCCACATCCCAATTAAGTGGAGGATATGGATTTTAACTTCCTCATCAACAGACATATACACACGCACACTGGAGCCACAGTCGCTTTCATACCCTTTTTCATAGGGTACATATATACAGTGCAACTCAATTGGTTTTCCCCGTTTTGTTCTCTTTTGTTTGCATCACTAGACTTCTTTTATTTATTAACTACCTACATATAGGAAGAAAGCCCAAAACGCGCTGCATCTTTCGGTATATTTACGTTGAACAACAAATGTAGCTTGAAGGTTAAAAAGTGTATTAGAAAAAATGTGACATTTTTTTTTCTACAATACAAAGTGCCCATAATATTGTAACATTTTTCATTTCGCATATATCTCGGCTTAGATAAATGATAAAATCTTGAATTTTTTCCAAAAAGAGGCGCTATGAAAAGCTCTATCAAGACTGCATGATTGAGTTCCTTCTTATCCGCTCTAGTGGTTTTTCCTACACTCAAAATGAACAAGCTACATTACAGTGTCACTCTCATCATATTGCAAATGTTTGGAACATTTTTTTGTTTTTCTTATATCTCGACTTGAGAAAATGATAGAATATTGAATGTTTTTAAAAAGATGCGCTGTCGAAAGCTCTACAAAAGCTGTATGGATTAATTTCTATGGCGAATCAGAAAAATCTTCCAAACATGTTCAATATGATGGGAAATGACACTGTAATGTAGCTTGTTCATTTTGAATATAAGAAACATCATTAGAACAGGTAAAAAAAGAAACCAGTCATGTAGTCTTGATAGAGCTTTTCACAGCGCATCTTTTGGAAAAAATTCAAGATTTTATCATTTATCTAAGCCGAGATATATGCGAAATGAAAAATGTTGCAATATTATGGGCACTCTGTATTGTAGAAAAAAAAATGTCACATTTTTTCTAATACACTTTTTTAACCTTCAAGCTACATTTGTTGTTCAACGTAAGTATACCGAAAGATGCAGCGCGTTCTGGGCTTTCTTCCTATCTATAGGAAGTTAATAAATAAAAGAAGCCTAGTGATGAAAACAAAAGAAAACAAAACGGGGAAAACCAATTGAGGTGCACTGTATTTCACATATTCATTTTTTAGAAACCAAAAAGATATAAGCGACTAGAACATGATATTTCTTCGAATTGATTTATAAATACCAACTTGAAAAAGAAAAATAAATGTTATTGTAGTTGGTCTCATGAACCAAGTAATAATGGCCCAAAATCGGTCACTTTTTGTTGGTTTCCACAAGTTAAAAAGATTTTCTCAATTGACCGGGGTGTGGGTGTGTGGGGTGTGGATGTGGATGTGGGTGAGGAAGCATAAAACATTCATACCCACACCTCACCCACCCTTCGAGTTTTTCTTGCTGACATTTGCTCCTGAACTTGTAATGGTTCTCTAATTAGTTGTGATGTATATAGAATTAAATTCTCTATCGAATCATGATACTTTCTAGGTGGTTTCTTGGGCAAAAAGTAAGGATTAACGCCGAAATACCAAGTTTTTGAGCATCTCCAGCTAGTTTTTAACCTTTGACACGATATCAGCAAAACATTTTTTCGCGACCCAATTCAAACTAGATCTGATTCAAAATCATAAGTATCCCAGAGCATTAAATGTATGATCTGAGAAGATTGAAACAATAATCAAAATTGAAATTGCAACAAAACACTTTCAGAGACAGAAGATACATGGTACAATCAAGTAACTTTAAAAAAACACATTTCAGATATTTTGACTAGTATCGATACAATCATTAAGTTATTTTAACCCTTTACCCCCCCCCCCCCCGCCCCCCCGCCCGGAACAGTTTCTCACCCGAAAAACTGGGATAAAGGACAGGAGCATCAGGTTAAAAAACGCTAAGCACCTTTTTTGTAGTAAACTTCATGGGCTATCCATTGGTAGAAAGACTGTTCCTTTTGATTGCTCCGTCTTTGAAATATAGGGTCTAAAAAATCGAAAATTTTGAAAAAATGAAAAAAATTGAAATTTTTTAAGTAAAATACTTTCTACTCGCAGCCAATAGAGATCTCATGGAATTTCTATGTGATATTAATTGACGAAGAAGTTCTTTGATAAATAAAATATATTTCAAAATTTTAGTGATAACTCAGCGAATATGACATACAAAGAAATATGATTGACCATGTAGCCACCAATTGACCTATGGGGCGAAATCAAGAGCACAGTTAATACATATATTAGATACCTCGACTCATGAGAAGTCGAAACTCTATTTATGATGAATTCAATTTGATGAGAAGTTATTAAATGGCCAAGAATAAAATTGGCTTTAATTTGAAAAAACATCTAAAAAACGCATCTATTCTTTGGTGTTCATTTTTATGGGTTTATTTCTCGTCTTTTTTCCATTATTCTAATAGCGCGAGATAGATGTTCCTTCTGTCCACCCAATATTGTGGTCAAAGAATAAAAATCAACTCTTACGGTGTAGTTCAATTTTCTTTCCCTACCCCATGATTTCTGGATAAATCAAATCGTCCTACTCTTGGAGCAGAACATTCGATGGATCAGATTATGCCATTTGCATACTAGCGAGGATAGTACTGTATTAATACAGTTATTTTATCAGTGGCTCTTCTGGAACCTCCATGGGGGGTAAAGGGTTAACACACTTTCCTAATGCTTTGGTTGAGAGACACACTGAAAGTTGTCTTTTTTTATGCAATGACCTCTTTATCGCTTCAAATACAGAATGAAAATATCAAGACCTAATCAGCACCATCTATTGTAGGATGTGTGGTACTACACTCAACTCATTAACGGAGAACAGGCAAATAGCAGATTCTTGTTAACTTCATGTTTTTAGGATTTTTAGACAATTGATCAGCGTAGAAAAGTTCATCATTTCAATCTTGTAGATACTTATGCGAGATATAGGAACAATTCAAAATTGAAGAATCAAATGTTGAGAGAACTTTACACATTAATTGATATTCTTGACTGTCTTAAGATATAATCTAGCTGTGTAGCTATTACTTTCATTTTTTTATGATTAGGACTTTCTATTCAGCACTGTTCCAGGTTCTTAGTTGTTGACAACATTCTTTTGAAATATTTTTCAACACAACCAAAAATTAAGAAATTCAAGATTAGAATTCTTCTGAAATTTTGAAAGGATTTCTTCAGTAGATCCTAATAAAAAGATGAACTATCAGAGTTATAGTGAATTTTCTAACTAATAAAAAACCGTTTGATAGTCTATAGAATCAAACTAAAATTCATAATTATGCAATATCCAAAACTTGAATTATTTTTGCAAAGGAAGAATTTTTGGATGCAGTTTAGATTTATTAAGTAAATCAAGAAAATAAAAATGTTGAAAAATTGGTCTTGTCTAAAAGAAATATGACATACTTATTATTATCCTTAGAGGTGATAGATGATTTATGTAACTTGGTCAACCAATAGACGATTCGATGATCTCAGGCATTGAGTCGTTAAAGTGGAAAATTCAATTAAAAATATCATTTGAGGCAGAAGAATATCTTTTTGATGAAAAAAACTAATCAAAAACGTGAAAAACAATATTAACTTAATAAAAAGTATATTATATCTTGATTAGCACACTAATTCAATATTTTATCGTTATCTTCCAGGTCAACAACTGAAGAAGTTTCACATTATAACTATAGTACCTAATGACCAATATAAAATTCAGCAAAAATCACCAAAAATGTCAGGTCTTAATGTCCATCCAGTATTCGAACATTATAACGAAATGTATTTTATATTTAAAGATATACTTTATTAGACAAAACAGAATGCACTGAAAATGTTACTACTGCACCGTGCGTCTGATGAATATTCATATTAAAGATATATGTCAGTATATGATTATGATATAGTCTCATTAATTGATTCTTTTCAAGTATGAAATATAAAGTAATGAATTATTTTTTTTACGATTAAAGTTTAAAAAATCTTACTAAAAAAAAATCAATGTATACGGATGTAGCATGAGAAACCACCTGAGGAGCTCATTAAATTGGCATGACATGAAAACATAAGTTATGCATTAATAAACAAAAACAACTTGAATACGTGTAGATGAAGGATATGTTTTACAATAAATGAAAAAAAAAATCAACTATTTCTTGTTTCAT